CCGACCTATATTAATATTCTTGCATATTTAAGTGGTTGCGTTTTTTTTGGAACACCCTGTACTCGAATATAGCTACCTACTGTATATATAAGCTGTTCTGCAATCTGATTGCTCGAGATAATCATCGTATATCAGCTCAAAAAGAAAATACCCGATAGTTTTGCTTAGGGGTGCATGATAAAGAAGGAAAAAACCATTAAGAAAGCCATGAAGGGTTAAGAGTAATATGTACTAGATGAATGGCCATCTAGTAGCATACATGTGATGGGTCAATTAAGTAAGTGATTGATCTCTGCTGTGTTCCGAGGCTTTTTTCCTCGAGATCTCCAGTTGTCATCCCAGGGCCCTACTCACTGTGAGTAGGCTGCTTTGGTAATTATGATTATCATATATCATTCATTCTCTCGCTGTAGGTCGATGTGGCTCAACTTTACTCTGCAAAGTGCTCGATCAACTCCCAAGAGTTCAGTCGATATCTGAGCCTGATGTGTTTGCTATCTTAGCACGTCATTTTGACGAAAGAATGGTTGGTTGCTATCCTAAGGCACGTACGAAGAAGGCGACGTTCATCACAATCACCCGTGTTGCAATTCTTCTATACTCAACAATTATTTTTTATTTCGCGCTCGAGATAAAATATGTATCTGCTACAAGCTCAGATCCGAGACCACGCACGCAGCGGAGCTGCTGCAGAAAGCCATGCCAAGTGCCAAAAACATCTACTTGTATCGGAACTGTTTTAGCTTTGGTGAATCATATGCCCGTGTCAGTGTAGAAGGAAACTACAACCTATACTGGCTTATCTCTACCCTTAGAGCTGATTCTACATATCTTTGGTATAAATTTAAGTATTGCCAACTACGTGTAAACAATTGTTTTTATCAAAACATGGGGAATAACCCAGAAAATGAAAATGTTCCATTTAGACATGGCTTCTACTGGTGTTTCACCTACATTTGGTGGCGCAATATCGAGAAAGCTATAACTATGACACAAACATACCCTGACCATTTTTTTCATGCGATATTACGATACGAAGATTTATCAATCAGAAAAGAGGAACTTGCTTTAATAGTTGCAAGAAAACTCGGCTATCTGGAAGAAAACGAGTCTTCTAGTGTGGAGTCGAGGATGCTTAGTTCGATTACAAGCGTGTTTAAATCGAACAGTCAGTCAGGTACTGAAGTGGCATCAAAGCGAGATGTAGAGAACAAAGATGACGTCTGGTATGGTGAATGGGAGAAACAGCAGATTAATGATGTTCTACAATATCTTGGCCGTACTGTTAGGAATGGAGATTTTTTTATACCTGGAACCATCTAAAAATATCTGCATGCTTGTGTTGGTGTTCGCTGGGCACGCCGTGCATGTGAGCATAACTCTAAATTAGGTTAGTTTTAATTGAAATATTGGCACGCTTACATCGGGCTAAATTAACCTTGATTTTCTTTTCGACTTTATCCTCAGAACCAAGAGACAATAGTTTTCCTTGTCTGTGATCGCCGAAAACAGAATTTACGATCTAATATATTAATCACTGTACGTTCTTGTTTCAGACAGCCTGGCTTACTTTACTTATTATATCCAATTGAGTCATTAGAGACCTTTAGCTTAACCAATATGACAAACCGCGAACAGCAAACGGCTAATTTCAAATTAATGACATTTAAAATTAGATTTTTGGCACCTTCTCGGCCACAACTTCTCTCAGGTAACGAGCGATTACATAGTCTTAGTCGATTGACAAATTTATTCCAAGCTAATCATTCCTATTCAAACTTATCGTTATCTTTCTACAGAATGTATTTTATATAATATATTACGAAAAATCTCTACGGCGTAGTCGTGATCTATCTTTGGAAACAAATTCTGAAGGAAACGTAACCCAGTACTTCCCCCGCGGGAGCAATCCCTGTTTATAGAGTGAGGCTGAAAATAATGCGAACACTGTTGTATCTGCATGACGTAAGTGATCAATCCCACTACGCATGAATAGGGCAACCGTACCTCACATGATTTCAGTTTGAATTCGGAAAGAGATATTTCAATACGTTCGGAAAAGCGATTGAATTCAAGTCAACCTGTCAAAGGTTCCAATTATCTTCCCTCATCACCTCGAGCATTTCATGGCTTGACAGGCACGCCGCAACATCGGTAATTGGGGGGGGGCATATATTCATATATTGGACTTCTGCATTATTGGTTTCTTCTAAAATCGATTGTTTTTACGGTCTGTGAACTTTAATATATGAATATATGCCTCCCCCCCAATTATCGATCTTCCGGCGTCCTTTTAGCTAAATAAATGACCAGAGTTTGAAGAGACTTTTTTATCGAGTACGCTATATATGAAAAGGTCTGTCGCGCCACAGTTAATAGAATATACATGGTTTGGAGACTAATATGTTATTGTCTACGTTTATGCAAAAAATGGTTCCTCTCTCGTCACGTGTCTATTGTATTTTAGCCAAATGTTGTTACACGAAGTTTGATTGGCTCGATAGTTTTGTGGAGCCTATCAAATTTCGTGTAACATCAGATTTTCTGCGTTTGACGTCACTATAAGAAAGGTTTATACAACGATGACACTTACATATGTGGGATTCATTGAGCCCCTCAAATTTTAAGTTAGACATTCACGAATCTAAAGAAAGCTATTTCAGTGTAACAGACCTTTTAGTCTTGAAATTATACTCAATAAAACAGGTTAACTTTTTTGCGCCACCCGATATGTAGAAGAGCGATCCAAGAACATAACGCCATCAAACTCAAATGGACTTTGATAATCGACTGGGGAAAGGTCTGCAAAGGTTGCTTGCTACAAGCATGCAACATGTCTTCAATACTCAAAAGAACCACAGAAAATTTCTGTGTGATGATCTTTTGAAAGGAGATAAAAATAAAGAATATCCCCTCACAATGTTGTGTCTTTCGTCGAAGATGATAATACTCTATATCGAAATATCAAGCATGCAACATGTCTTCAATACTCAAAAGAACCACAGAAAATTTCTGTGTGATGATCTTTTGAAAGGAGATAAAAATAAAGAATATCCCCCCACAATGTTGTGTCTTTCGTCGAAGATGATAATACTCTATATCGAAATATCAATGTCGTTTAAATGTCTTGACTAAATTAAAGAGAAAAACATTGTTGGATATATTTAATATATCTTGACCAATTCAGCTTGAAAAACTTACTTGGTGTAAATGTGGACATTGCGCATTATTAACATAAGGGCTGTAGAATGTTATTGCTGCTATGAAAAAGCACTAAACTGTGCGTTTGATGCTGTTCGATTAAGTTTAGATTTAATTGGGGAAAGAATATATTTTTAAAATACATGTAGATTCTGGTCCTATTTTAATATTATCGCTGCTATTTCGCCGTTTAACAAGATATGATCACTTATGGTTGCGTTGACACGTCGCAGTTAATTTGCACAGGATTGAAGATTTAATATATAAGCAGGAATTCCAAATACTTTTTAAAGTACAATGAGCTTCTGAATTTCGCGATCGAACAACATTAAGGTTTGCAAGGCATCTAAATGAATATGAACTGTATAAAATGCACCGCATATAATGTCAATTGCACGGCATATAAAGAGAAATGCACCGCGTATAATGTCAATTGCACGGCATATATTAAAAGAGAAATGCACCGCGTATAATGTCAAAAGGACAGCATATAAAGAACAAGACGCCGTTCTGGCGTTAACTCCGGCGCACGTGCCAGTCTTCAATATAGAGCTTCTGAACATAAACAATACAGTTCGCGTATTGTTTCGCATACATATTCGCATTTAGATGCCTTGCGAACCTAAATGTTCGATCGCGAAATTCAGAAGCACATCGCAGTATAGAAGTTCAATTGTTCAAAAATGTAAATAAACCGCATGATACATTCGTTTCGTCTTACACTTTGCCTTTGGAATTCGCGCTTATATAGTTGTATTAAATCTTCGATCCTGTGCAAACTACGCCACGTGTCAACGCGCCCATACACGACCACATCATCTTGTTAAACGGCGAAATAGCAGCGACATTATTAAAATAGGACCGGAATCTACACGTATTAAATATATTCTTACCCCAATTCAATCTAAACTTAATCGAACAGCATGAAAAGAACGGTTTATTTGTTCATCTTGGAGGAATTGCCGTATCATGCGAGCGAATCGAATCGCGCATTGGAAAATTAGCCAAAGCTGTGCACCACAACTCTTGGGAGATAAGACTGGGACGTAGATAAATACAGTCACATACACATTTTAAATACTAGTATATTTCGCGCCATTACACACTTGCGACGACGAAAAATAAAAAAAAAAAACAAAAAAAAAACAAACAAAACAAAACCGGGGCGAATTTTCAACTCCGTCGCTGACGCCGGAGTAAAAATGCACCGCATATAATGTCAAAAGACAGCATATAGAGACAAAACCACCGCATATGATGAATATATACCACGTAAGACAGCTATGGCATTCCATAGTATTGTTTATGTTCAGAGCCTTTTATTGAAGACTAGCACGTGCGCGGCACGCCGGAGTTAACGCCAGAAAAGGCGTCTTGTTTATGCTAAAATATAGTAAAATTGTTAGCAGGGGAAAATATGCGCGCCTTAGCTTTAGTATAAATCTAAATATAAGTTGAATTCTAAACTTTGGGAGATTGGTTATTAGTTGTGTTGTGTTGTCACCGTAACGTCGTGTTGTGTATCGACGTGCACTACATGTGTAAATATGTGTGTACATAGTTCATATTCAATGTTCTCTTCCAAATATTTTGAAAAACATGTCCCCGCAAAGTTGATGCATTAATTTTGCATAGGTATTTGATCCTGTTCCCCCTCTATACTCTATTTTACCAAGTTTTTCAAGTTGCCATATGAGAATACAACAATAGTTTATATAATCATATTTCCCGAACCCATCAAATGACGTCACAAAGTATGCTAGCATAAATTAGCATAAGGCTCGAGATTTTCAAAATGGCGGACCACCGATGAACATTTTTGGAAATTTTCTCAAGAACCAAATACGATAGACACACAAAAACATTAAATTAAGTATTTCCTAGATGATTTCAACAGATTTGGCAAATAAAAATTTTCGTTGCCAATGTTCTTTAATCGGAAGAGTCGAGCTCTGTGACGTCCATATCTTCTCTGTGCGACTGACGAAGACATATTGTAAATTTTACTTTGAAATTGAAGTTGCTTTTTTCGGCTGTTTGTATTCCAGTGAATTCCGTTGAGTTGCTAGCAAAGTCATGTCGTCCTGGTTAGTTAACGTGCAATGTAAAAAGATATTCAGAGATGCAAGAAATAAGTTAGTTTCAATTCTGCACCCAATGCTCAATGATTTTGACTACAAAGGTGAAAAGTTGGACATCAAAGACATTGCAGAATTCATGAGTAAGTTTGGAGTGGATTACTCCGTGTTGACAGTGGACCTAGACTTGGAGTTACTAATACTTGTAAAGACCGAAGAAGGAGTTGATATCAAGAACAAGCCATTTTTGTACGCGGTAAGTACGCAAACAAATATCGCAACTTCATATACACAGAACTAAATATGAAATATTATATATACACATATATTATTGACAGCATTCCATGATGTCCCCTCTATTGAAATCAAGCCTTTGTTAGAATCTGATTGCCTTAACATTATGATAAACCCAATTGAAAGCAAGACGCTTTATTTAAATGCCTCAACCTAATAACTATGCTATTTACACACTACTGCATTGATCATGCATTCAAATTCCAACAAAAGCTTCATTTCAATAGCGGGGACTTTTTTTTGGGACACCCTGTAGATCCTACAGTGGACATAGGTTAACATTTAGAATAATTCACGCAGAATACATATTATCAGAAGTATAACTGGAGATTATTTTTTTAATTTTTGTGTCCTCAAATATTCTCAAATTGCACACTTCATGCACATGCACAACACTTCCTGGATTGATGGCAGCTCTGTGGCAATTTCTTGCCTTCGTAAAACGAATAAGCATAACTGGATGTCCTGGGCAGCATTTATTTTCCTGGGCAGAACTAAATATGAGATATTATATAAATTATACGCATATATATTATTGACAGCATTCCATGATGTAGATCTTACAGTGGACATAGGCCAACATTTAGAATAATTCACGTCAACACCTATGCAGAATAGATATTATCAGAAGTGTAACTAGAGATTATTTTTGTGTCTTCACATTTTCCCAAATTGCACACTTCATGCACATGCCATGACACTTCCTGGGCTGGATTGATAGCAGCCTGTTAATTTTTTACTGCAGCAATTATAGAACACCTGGGCAACCCAATTCTTAACAGCTAGTGAATGTTATATAATCTTATAGATAATGTACCTCCATGAATTTCATGGGACTTTCACAGAACAAGAATAGACACTATTTTTTATGGGGCATTTCTATACTCTAAAATTGATGCTCTAACAGATCTTTAACGTAATCCACCATTGGCCTCGTACCCAAATAGTTCAACTTTATGCAAAAATTATGCAACTTTGTGCAAATATATTACAATGAGAAGTTCTTATCCATAAGAAAAATTGCTGTCAAAGATAAATGATTTAATTGAAAAAATAAAGAACCAGTGGCATATAGTTATACCTGTCATGATTATAAGGCAAATTAATGTTAACATCAATGAATCAAATATATAATTTTTTCAAATTTAATTTATTCATTATAATAAACCATGCATGGGCAGCCCAGACTTTGACAAATTTAACTGGCACATATGTGATACTCGCATGTGTGTTGCACATAATTTTAATTTGTCGACTTAGTTGTTTAGGAATTAGGCAAAGTAAGCACAACACACACTTGTAAGTGCCACATGCACCAGTCAAAATCTGGTCTGCCTATTATATGTAATGTACCACAACAAAACTGAGAAGATAAAACTTGGCTAAGAAGTTACAGATTATAGATCTATAATACACCAGAATGTATATTTAAAACAATTAGATCAATATTAATTAATATGTTTTCCTAATTAATAATCGGTACAGTAACAATAGTGAATTTGTTATTTGAAATGATGCTAAGGTTGACGTCAATTATACTTAATTTTACATCTGTTTTGCTGATCGAACTTCAGACAATATAGGCAATTTGATATTTGATTATCACACTTTCTACATTCTAATATGCTGTAACTTTGAGCATGGAATCTTTGAGCATGGAATCTGCTTTTGAAACTGAGTTATTTGTGAACTTAGTTGGAACCTTATTAAAAGTTATTATTTCGAGTTTAGTTTACTTTTTTTTGTTGCATATCCATTAATACTTTTAACAGCTAGCTAGCTGTATAAAATAACATACAGTACTTAAGTATGCCACCCAGGGCTGTATATATCGATACCCTGGGTAGCATATATCATAGGTCACACTTGCAATACCAGGCAGCACCTTATTAATATAATGTCTTTTAAACGGTTGTTTTTTTATCACAATATGCCATTAAATAAAATGATTGCTTTACTAAATATCACTAAGTTCTAATTGTGGTTATATCATGCATCATTTGCAATATGTTTATTCAATAAAGAAATAATTAATTAAGTTGATCTCTTTTGGTGTCATATAAAACAAATAATGAATGTTTTCATTCCTGCAATGGTAATAATATTTTCATTCGATGAAAGATGGAATATTCTATTCAATCTTTCATTACATCCATATGTTTCACCTTATGAAAATATTCTTACCATTGCACTCATAAACATTCATTATTAGTATATTATTTCTGTCTTAACAGACAACACAGTAGATATAGTAGCTTGTGATTGTTAACATTGCTGTCTTTAACTGGTAATTTGTAAATAGTTATTTATAATAGACATTGCCGAAAAAATTGTGTCTCTGCCCACTGACTCAACCCAACAATGAAATATTTCCCTCGGTCTCAAAAATTGGGAAATATTTCCCTCGGTCTCAAAAATTCAAAGACGTTGGGAAATATTTCCCTATAGGCTATACGGACGTCCAATCTGGTAAATAACATATATATATATATATATATATATATATATTATTATATATATATTATATTATATATATATATATATATATATATATATATTATTCTTATATAGATGGGGGTATTTTACTGAGAACTAAAACTAAAAACACTCGTAGAACTCATACGCCACTACATCCGGGATAAAGTGCGTATTTTCCGCCATGTCGTGACATAACAGGTTTCAAAAATTTCCCATTTCGTTGTTGTGAAAATGCAAGTAGTCTTTGGTTCGTATATAAAACGGAATTAACGTTGGAAATACAAACGAAAACACTTAACAGTATTCTACTTTAATGTTTAGGTTATAATTTAATTAAATTATATTTAAATTATAATAGTGGTTTTCTTTTATAATGGTCTTTCGCGGCTCTGTGTTGTACGTCGTCTTTATACATGTGTATTTTTGTCACTCGCAATTTAGTCCATATACTAAACAGGATATACACGGTTCGCTCGAATATATGGATTTATTATGTTCTGGTGTCAGAAACAATATTTCACTCGTTCGCTGCGCTCACTCGTGAGATATTATTTTTGCCACCCGAACATAAAATCCATATCTACTCGCATTTTACTGATGCTCAAATACATATTGTCAGGTCAGGCTTAGTCCACGAGGCTATATATATTTAAAAAATCAGCTGGAATGTTTTACTACCGGTACAGGACTATGCAGTGAAGGATCATTCTGTACGTTATTTTCTTGTCCACTCACAGACAAGAAGTGTATAGATAATATCTAGAATATATCCAGACTATCCATGCATATATAAACTTCATGGCATTCAAGTTAAACTCAAGGTACCCATCTGCGAAGTCAACAGACAATCAAATTTCTCTATTCATTAAAATAAGATTGGCTACTCACTTCTGGCTTGCAAAGTGTATTAAAATAGTTTTATACAACCGGCCCCAGGTTTGATTGTAAACTGCACTTGAGCACAAATACACTTGTATAGTAAGTCAAGTTATAGTTCGCTTTTACCCGAATTAGGGTTGAAAATGCACAAATTTGTTTTGTTTTCTACACACTCTTTCTCTCTCTTTTATTCAGCTGTAAATTTCCTTTCGTATATTATTACAATTCACAGGCCCAAAGACTATATGCAGTACAACTACTCTGCATTCCTTTCCATGAACTTTCAAAAGTGGAAGAAGTTATTGCATTGAACATGTCTAATGTGAAGACAAGTTTCCTATACAATACAGGTAGAAGTATTGCTAATATGTTTTTATTAACTGGCTTATTTTAGTTCTTTACATGCATGTAACCTGTTGTAATGCATAATTACAAATTACAAAAGAATAGTAGCGCAGCGAAGTCGCAGGTAGTTACGAAGCTGCAGATTTTTTAGTATGGAAATTTATTGATTTGAAAAGGTTCCATGTCTTAAAACCAGAATATCAAAGTACAGTAAATTTAACACCATATCCAACTCATGCTGAAATGGCTAAACCGAGTGAAACATGCATATATATGAGGCCAGTGAAGGGACCTAGCTATACTACACTCGAATATAGCTACCTACTGTATATATATATATATATATTAAATAATATATAATATTATTTATAATATATATATATATATATAATTATATAAGCTGTTCTGCAATCTGATTGCTCGAGATAATCATCGTATATCAGCTCAGCAATCATCGTATATAAGCTCAAAAAGATAATAGCCGACAGTTTTGCTTAGGGGTGATAAAGAAGGAAAAAACCATTAAGAAAGCCATGAAATGAATGGCCATCTAGTAGCATACATGTGATGGGTCAATTAAGTGAGTAAGTGATTGATCTCTGCTGTGTTCAGAGGCTTTTTTCCTCGAGATCTCCAGTTGTCTTCCCAGGGCCCTACTCACTGTGAGTAGGCTGCTTTGGTTAATATGATTATCATATATCATTCATTCTCTCGCTGTAGGTCGATGTGGCTCAACTCTGCTCTGCAAAGTGCTCGATCAACTCCCAAGAGTTCAGTCGATATCTGAGCCTGATGTGTTTGCTATCTTAGCACGTCATTTTGACGAAAGAATGGTTGGTTGCTATCCTAAGGCACGTACGAAGAAAGCGACGTTCATCACAATCACCCGTGTCGCAATTCTTCTACTCAACAATTATTTTTTATTTCGCGCTCCAGATAAAATATGTATCTGCTACAAGCTCAGATCCGAGACGACGCACGCAGCGGAGCTGCTGCAGAAAGCCATGCCAAGTGCCAAAAACATCTACTTGTATCGGAACTGTTTTAGCTTTGGTGAATCGTATGCCCGTGTCAGTGTAGAAGGAAACTACAATCTATACTGGCTTATCTCTACCCTTAGAGTTGATTCTACATATCTTTGGTATAAATTTAAGTATTGCCACCCACGTGTAAACAATTGTTTTTATCCAAACATGGGGAATAACCCAGAAAATGAAAATGTTCCATTTAGACATGGCTTCTACTGGTGTTTCACCTACATTTGGTGGCGCAATATTGAGAAAGCTATAACTATGATACACACATACCCTGACCATTTTTTTCATGCGATATTACGATACGAAGATTTATCAATCAGAAAAGAGGAACTTGCTTTAATAGTTGCAAGAAAACTCGGCTATCTGGAAGAAAACGAGTCTTCTAGTGTGGAGGCGAGGATGCTTAGTTCGATTACAAGCGTGTTTAAATCGAACAGTCAGTCAGGCACTGAAATGGCATCAAAGCGAGATGTAGAGAACAAAGATGACGTCTGGTATGGTGAATGGGAGAAACAGCAGATTAATGATGTTCTACAATATCTTGGCCGTACTGTTAGGAATGGAGATTTTTTCATACCTGGAACCATCTAAGAATATCTGCATGCTTGTGTTGGTGTTCGCAGGGCACGCTGTGCATGTGAGCATAACTCTAAATTAGGTTAGTTTTAATTGAAATATTGGCACGCTTACATCGGCCTAAATTAACCTTGGTTTTCTGTTCGACTTTATCCTCAGAACCAAGAGACAATAGTTCTCCTTGTCTGTGATCGCCGAAAACAGAATTTACGATCTAATATATTAATCACTGTACGTTCTTGTTTCAGACAGCCTGGCTTACTTTACTTATTATATCCAATTGAGTCATTAGAGACCTTTAGCTTAACCAATATGACAAACTGCGAACAGCAAACGGCTAATTTCAAATTAATGACATTTAAAATTAGATTTTTGGCACTTTCTTGGCCGCAATTTCTCTCAGGTAACGAGCGATTACATAGTCTTAGTCGATTGACAAACTTAATCCAAGCTAATCATTCCTATTCAAACTTAATTGTTATCTTACTACAGAATGTATTTTATATAATATATTACGAAAAATCTCTACGGCGTAGTCGTGATCTATCTTTGGAAACAAGTTCTGAAGGAAACGTAACCCAGTACTTCCCCCGTGGGAGCAATCCCTGTTGAGAGTGAGGCTGAAAATAATGCGAACACTGTTGCATCTGACGTAAGTGATCAATCCCACTACGCATGAATAGGGCAACCGTACCTCACATGATTTCAGTTTGAATTCGGAAAGAGATATTTCAATACGTTCGGAAAAGCGATTGAATTCAAGTCAACCTGTCAAAGGTTCCAATTATCTTCCCTCATCACCTCGAGCATTTCATGGCTTGTCAGGCACGCCGCAACATCGATAATTGGGGGGGGGGGGAGCATATATTCATATATTGGAGTTCTGCATTATTGGTTTATAAAATCGATTGTTTTTACCGTCTGTGAACTTTAATATATGAATATATGTCCCCCCCAATTATCGATCTTCCGGCGTCCTTGTAGCTAAATAAATGACCAGAGTTTGAAGAGACTGTTTTTTTATCGGATACGCTATATATGAAAAGGTCTGTCGCGCCACAGTTAATAGAATATACATGGTTTGGAGACTGATATGTTATTGTCTATGTTTATGCAAAAAATGGTTCCTCTCTCGTCACGTGTCTATTGTATTTTAGCCAAATGTTGTTACACGAAGTTTGATTGGCTGGATAGTTTGGTGGAGCCTATCAAATTTCGTGTAACATCAGATTTTCCTTGTTTCACGTCACTATAAGAAAGGTTTATACAACGGTGACACTTACATATGTGGGATTCATTGAGCCCCTCAAATTTTAAGTTAGACATTCACGAATCTAAAGAAAGCTATTTCAGTGTAACAGACCTTTTAGTCTTGAAATTATACTCAATCAAACAGGTTAACTTTTTTGCGCCACCCGGTATGTAGAAGAGCGATCCAAGAACATAGCGCCATCAAACTCAAATGGACTTTGATAATCGACTGGAGAAAGGTCAGCAAGGTTGCTTGCTACAAGCATGCAACATGTCTTCAATACTCAAAAGAACCACAGAAAATTTCTGTGTGATGATCTTTTGAAAGGAGATATAAATAACGAATATCCCCTTACAATATTGTGTCCTTCGTCGAAGATGATAATACTCTATATCGAAATATCAATGTCGTTTAAATGTCTTGACTAAATTAAAGAGAAAAACATTGTTGGATATATTTAATATATCTTGACCAATCCAGCTGAATGAGCTATCCCTACAGATACAGGCTCGATGCTTGGGGGGGAGGAGTCTATATAGGTATACGACGATACTGATCTCTTATGTTATACAGAACCCATGCAGGCTTATGGATTCGAAATCATATTTAACGCCGAATAATTTATTTATATTTTTACCAACGCTCAAAATCGGCATATAATTATGTAAATTTTTGTCACAGAAATTATTGCTCAATTTTACTGATATTTTGGTGGTTTTTTATTTCTTCGCAATTTGTGTTTGAAAAGCCTAAAGATTTAAAATGAAAGAAAAATCGAAAGTTTACGGAAAATTTATACGGTGCTAAACCAGCGAAGAAAGCGTGTGTCGATAATGCAAATGGCCTCATGCACTCAGAAGCGTCTACTTCAAGCAATGATCTCCATAGGTCTGCTTCGGCGAGAAAGATCGACGGCCACAATATTTTAGATGGGAGTAAAGAAAAAACTGTTAATGTTTCGGGCTACAGCTTCATTGACATGAAGTTATTATTCACATTTGTGACTGAGATGTGTTGTAAACAATGTGGCAACTCAACTCTTGTTCTCGAAGACAGCAAACATGAAAGGAAAGGATGTGAATCCCATCTCAGAGTGCAATGTCAAAATTTTGGGTGGGTGTACACATTTTACACTTCTAAGATGCAGGAATACGCTTTTGATGCGAATAGAAGATTTGTGTATGCGATGCGTAGTCTTGGTAAAGGCCAAACAGCGGCCAAACGATTTTGTACCCTAATGAACATGCCACCTCCCCCTCAGCCTACTGTAACGTTGCAATAGCAAAAGCAGCAAAGACAGTGACTGTGAAAACAATGAATGATGCTGCCAATGAATTAAGGAATGATCAGTCAAAGGAAATCAACCAGTGTGTTGTTTCTTGTCATGGTACATGGTAAAAACGGGGCCATTCTTCCCTGAATGGGTGTGTGACAATGCTGTCAATGGAGAGTGGGAAGTGCCTTGATGTCGCAGTTTTGAGTAAAGTGTGTCATGGTTGTCAGTGAGAGAATAGAAAGGGAATTGATGTGGGAAAGAAAGCTACCAAGAAAGCAAAGCATGTTGGTAAGTGTAAGGTGAATCACATGAGCTCATGAGAAAGATAAACAAAGAGCAGGTTGCAAAAGCGGACTTTAAGTCAAAAGAAGAGAACAAGAAAAAAAGAAAGGTGTTGTGTGGCTTGAAGAGGAAGAAAAGTGATAAGCAGAAACAAGAGGAGGGAACTTTGTAGAAACCAGGAGGATTGTGAGAAATTTAAGATACAATTTATGTCGATGACACCAATTTAAATCTTGTCAACTATGACAGTAAATCTAAAATCCTGTTTTTCTCAGTTTCCAATTTCTGTTCATTTTGCCTTACTTAAAACACAATATCTAATAAGGTAATTATGCTATTGGGTTGAAACTTTCACAACTACTAGTTCTTATCATTCTCTAGTCACATTCTCTTGCGGCAATCGCCTGTTGTGTAACTTGATACTTTCATGCAAACGGATTAATTAATATTGTAGCCACACCTTTTGCAGTAGCCAAATAATTCTAGTTCACCTCTTAGATATTCATCTTGGTAACATAATGAAAGTTTTTTGAAGCTTTTATAGTCAATAGTTTTTAAAAAATTGTGTTTTGAAATATACCCACATTTACTCTGTCGATAGGCGGATATCTTTGTTACCATGGCAACAACTTTGACTTAAGTTATGTTTTTAGTGATAATTTGTAGTATACAACAGATTAACATCATAAAACCTTCACTTTGTTGAAGAATGTGAAAAAAGTTTTGTTTTGTGTAAGACCACCTTAAGAGTAATAAAGTTAATTTGATAAAGTATTATTATCATTATTATTATTATTATTATTTATAATGTAACATTTATAGTACGGGCGTGCTGATTGGTGAGAAGCGTGTTTCTACAACTGTGTCGAAACACGGGAGTTTTCCCGCCAAACTTGACAAGCAAAGTAATGTAATGAGAATTATAATATTCGTGGGAAATCTTTGTTTGAGTTATATTACAAAAGACATAAATTTTTTTTCCTGCGTTTACTGATATACAGTTATAAAACACTTGGCGGATTTTGGGAGAACTCGATATTCCCAGTGATTGTTTTCCGTTCTCCCACGCCTGTTTCTATAACTGTAAAGAAACACGGAAAATGTTTTCTATTTCTTAAGCAATTACTGCAAGCTCCCACTCATTCTGCGTTCCATAATTGGTTATTCACTATACTTGGTTCGTCGAATCGACAATACGCTCTTATTACTACGCAGCACGACTGGGTATTGGTATATCGTATTTATTGTCACAAATAATATTGTGCGCAAACACAATTCGATCTAAATATTAATATATGAACAAGATATTATGGTTTGATTAACGGAATTGATATACTACGATTAACTTTATAATTAACTTACTTCTGTGCCAATATTCTCGTGTTGATTCACATAAACAAATACAGTTACAGGTTAGCATTAACGTCTACTTTTTCTACAGTCCGGTTTAGATCCTCAGGTTAGCAGTTTAACTTGTATCAATTGCCTTAATTCTAATCATGTCCGTGCAGATATAGGATGCCGCAATTTTAGGCCTACGTAATTAAATGTCAATCAAATGTAAATCACTAGAAATAGAATATATAAATTAGTAATCGGTCTAAAGTATGTGTTCATCACAACAATACTAGGCTACTAGTAGGCTACTTCGCTCTTATAGCGAAATCCACGGTGTCGCTGTCAAATCGTTAATTATCAAAAAATATATAACGTCAGCTCTTATATATCAAAACAAAAACAATTCGCATTTCACTACATTTTTTAAGACAACATTAGCAAAGAGTGGCTTGCGCTAATTTTTACCAATCACTCTGACGTAACCACGTTATCCGCAGCTTCTCCTGACTCGTAAATCCAATGGTTTTGTGTGAGACCGACTTGATCTGACTCACTGTAAACTGGATTTTTAATTGTATGTTGAGATTTGTAATCAGGTTCAATATTCCTTCTTCTTCTTAACCTTCGACGACGATAAAATATCACGACACAGGCAATGATAATTCCAGTGATGATGACTGCTGGTATAGATATAAATATAGGCCATTTAGCTGCTCTCTCCCGTTCCCCACGTGACTTTTCTTTTTCTGAGAATGAAAACAGACAAAGCGCGCGTGGAATTGGTAAGAGATTTGGAGGAAGTATATTTGAATTACAATGATTGTTCACTACTCGATCTTTAAATAAATTATATGTATACATAGAATATATATATATATATATATATATATATATATATATATATATATATATATATATATATATATATATATATATATATATATATATATTCTATGTATACATATATAGAATATATGCATATATATATATATAGAATATATATATATATATATATATATATATATATATATATATATATATATATATATATACATATATAGAATATATATATATGTATATATATGTATATATAATATCTATAATATATCAATTTTAAATTTTTTCCAAATACATTGAACTCCAGCGTCTCCAAGATGAGAGCAAGAACGAACTTTTCCCCAACCTCCATGAGAACAATTTGCTATATTTCTTTCTTCTCCGGTACAAGAAACTTGTGTTAACCATACTGGTCCAGAACGGGGAGGAATTTTTCCACTAGAAGAAGCCTTAATAACACCTTCATAACCAAGTTGACGACATGCAACCCGAGCATCTT